CATAACGCATTAGTGAAGTTATGGTGAGTTGCAGGATTTAAATGGACATTTTTTCGATTTTGGGCCAATTTAGATCCCGAATATTCACGAAATGGAAAACGGTCGTTTTGCATGGCGGTCTCCAGCACGACAAATGAGTGATGGGACCCTCATCATTCGTGGTGAAAAGGTTCCATCACGAAACGTTGGAGGAGTTGGCTTTGTCGTCCACCCGCATGAGATCCTGTCACCTTGACGAGCCATCCTACGACTACGCCCTCCACGTCAGAAGACCATCAGCATCATCAACTGCTACTCTCCAACATCAGCAGCTGACGACTCAGAACTAGATGCTTTCTACGAAGACGTGGAGCAGGTCGTCCGCAACGAGAAGTTTTTCTATAAGTTCGTTGTGGGCGACTTCAACGCGAAGATCGGGATGTCACTAGAAGAGGATTATAGTATCGGGAAGTTTGGATATGAGCTCTGAAACGAAAACGGCAACCGTCTTGTTGGGCTTCTCTCCGCCGCACGACTTTTCCATGGAAATTTCATCTTCATGAAGAAAGAACATCGCCGGTGGACTTGGGAATCGCCCAACGGAACGACTCATGAGGAGATCGGTCACGTTCCCACCAACCGAAGGTGGAGCTCGCTCGATGTCTCAGTAGTTCCATCCTTCTGCAGTGGCTCCGATCACGTCTTCTTCGAGCAAAGATACGATTCAGTCGAAAGCTGGAAAAGAAAGTTTGCCACAGCGCCGCAAGAAGGAAAGAAGTCGTTTATGACGGTAATAGGTTAGAAGAGCTCATATCAAGTTGTGACTGGCCCATCGAGGAGGACCCAACGTACGACTACGACCGGCTTTTGAAAGGATTGCGAGCCTGCGGAGAGTGCGCCTCAGTGACTTCTGAGAAGAACTTGGAACGCTTTTCGAAGACCACCAGGAATTGCTTGAAAGAAGAAGATTTCTAAGGCAGGATCCGATTGCAACCCATCTTGAGCGATGATAGCCAACGCGAGCTGCAGAACAGCTTTGCAGGAGGATCTCAGGAAGTACGGGCGAGCCAAGATACTGGAAGCAGCCGAAGGAAGACGAAGTCTCAAGAAGTGCCGAAGGGACCTCTGCGAATATCACGTACAGTTGGCTGCACTATTGAACGAGGACGGGACTCCGACTTCTTCCCGATACAACATGGAATCTGGAACAAGAACTTTTACACCAACCTCTTCCGGTCATCAACACGCAGGTGCCCGTTATTCCCACTGAAGAGGTGCCACCACGAATTCTACCTGCTGAAGTGCGCACGGCGATACAGACCATGAAGACATCCACGGCTCCAGGACTAGGCCATTTTCCGTCGAATTTCTGCGAGCCGGAGGACAACGTCTACACGAGGTTCTAGCGTCGCATTTGACATCTTACCTTCAGAAGGAGAAGGTTCCCGATCAGTGGAGAACATCAAGAACCGTCCTCCAAGAAGGGCGAACGGGAGGATCTTCGTGACTACCTTCCAATATGCCTGTTAAGTGTGCTGTACAAGCTTTTCACGAAGATTATCCTCGCTCGCTTATCTAGGACACTGGATGAAGCCCAACCCCAAGAACAAGCTGGATTCCGCAAGGGGTTCAGCTGCATGAACCACATCCAGACCGTTTCGAGGATCATAGAAGTCTGCCGGGGTACCGAGTGCCTCTCGTCTTAACCTTCGTCGACTATGAGGAATCCTTCGACAGCGTCGAAACGAATGCCATTCTGTCAGCACTGGTCGATCAAGGAGTAGACCCAGCCTACGTGAGGACAATAGCCGACTACTACAAGGATTGTACAACAATGATGCAGCTTTTCCATCACCCCTGACCATTCCGATCCGGAAGTGGGTCCGACAAGGCGACACTATTTCGCCGAAGCTGTTCACCGCGGCCTTGCAATGGGTGATGAAGTCACTGGACTGGGATGAGAGAGGCATACGAGTTGATGGGAGATTCCTATCCAATCTTCGTTTTGCGGACGACATCGTACTCTTCTCGAGCAGTATCACTGCAGCAGAGACGATGCTGAAGGAACTGAACGAAGCAGGGAAGAAGATCGGACTGCGAATAAATCGGAAGAAGACTCAGTTCATGAAGAACGCCCTTTGCGAAGATGCAGAAATGGAATTGGAAGGCACCCCTATCATGGAGACGTCTTCTTACGTGTATCTCGGACGTTCGATGAACATGGAGAACGACTTGAGGGAAGAACTTAACAGGAGAAGAAGAGCAGCCTGGGCCGCATTCGGGTCTCTGAAGGAAGCCACCGACCAACTGACGGACCCGGAGCTTCGTGCCCACCTGTTCGACTCAACCGTTCTCCCGGCGCTCTGTTACGCAGCTGAGACTTGGGCCCACACTGTAGGCACGTCGAAAGCTTTACGGACCACCCACGGAGCGGTTGAGCGTAGCCTTCTGAAGATGACTCGATACAAGCAACGTCTAGTCGGACTTTGCAGTACGGATATAAGAAGAATGTTCCCGTCTTCGTGACCCAGCGGAATACATTGCGAAAGCGAAACACCGATGGGCCGGTCACATCATGAAAAGAACAGACGATAGATGGACATTAAGAACATCCGAGTGGATTCCTCGCGAAGCCAAACGTCCCCGAGGAAGACCACCGACGAGATGGGCAGACATGTTCGTGGAACGGATGGACCAGCTAATTTCTCAGCTGGATAGCTTCTCAGCTTTTCGCACCTGGAACTCGTAGACGCAGCCACCGACGTCAACCAAGAAGATCGTGGATGTCTGAAGCGAGGGACAGGGACCGATGGAAACTCTTGTGGGGGCCCGCACGCCACGTGAAGACGGGCCATCTAAGTAACTAAGTAAGTATCTCACTGTTTGAATCAGAATCAATAAAACCTCGATAACCAGACAGCATCAATATATCCATGGTTAACTCACTCAAGTTAAAGACATGCCAGCTCCGCGCCAGCTTCGCGGCAGCTCCGTCGCTATGAACTCAATCGGGTTTGAGGGCAGTGCCAGCCCCGTGCCAGTTCGTGTCAAGGCTGAGGCCTTGCAATAGCTCCGTGCCAAGAGCATGTATTTTTTTGGTGAAGGGGATTTTGGCTATTTCCGACCTTGAGAAATGAAGGGGTAAGTGAACCTTAAAGTGATTGCTGAAACCAGCTTTAGTGCGACCGGACTAGGGAGGAGGTGGGAGGAGAAAATAAAAGGTGCAGAGGTACGATATAGAGTATTATTCAATGCTTCGGCATTGGATTGAACAGACTCTCCTGAGCATTTTTTTCCTAGAAATAGGCTTGATCCATAAATTATTAGTGGCATAGAAATATTTACTACCTTTGCAATAACTATGAAACGCATATACGATTTGCCAACATAATGCGTAAGCAGTGCAGTGCTATTGTCATGAGCCAGTGTGCTAAAGGTCTTAAGACATACAATACTGAAAATGCGTAAGAAAAATCAGTAAAAAAATCAAAATATCATCACAATGCAGTCTGCTCAAAAACGTGATGTTCCATTAGCCATGACGCCAGACGGTACCTTCTCTAAAAACATAAGGAAAAGAGAAGTGCACAACTAACGAACAGTAGTACAGCAGAAATATGTGATCAGCACAAGACTGAAGGCGAAAGATTGAGAATCTGAGGTATCTTGGCAAGCAAAAGAGTTTTAGCGCGCAAGTGCGTACACTTTTTATTTGAAATAAAATTATCTTTTCTGAATAACAGCGTGTGCGGCAACGAAAATTTCTAGGATCCGCAAAAAGCAGTCGATCGGGCAGCCGGACGTGTGTGTGTTGAATATCAGTTTATTTACGTGTGATCCTCATGTGTCCAATTTGTTTGGACGTTGTCTACAAGGGCAACACTTATAATGTAACAAGCAGGGCATAGTCGAACTCATGCCTCCCGCAATCTGGTCATTCAACCCTCACATGCTGTATTGACACGGATTGACACGGATTGTTGCAACTTACATAACTCAAGCCACACTTTTTCCTAGGAGCTTGCGCACCCGGAGACTTCCGTCAATTGCATTCTAGCGATATGTGTTGAAGACAGCACCTCATTGATTTTGCTGTTGAGAATAGAACTGATTGATTGTGAACATGGTTCCATGTGCTTCGACAACCTCAATGTAACTTGGCAAATAAGTCTTCGGCCTAACTTCCATAAAGTAAAATGAAGTTGTAAGCATTGATGGATGCAGGCGAACGCAAGTACCACCCACTAATTTTTTTTCTAGCGACGGCTTCTCTCAAACACGTGATAATCTTTATGTTTCGCAAGCATTCTATTAAGTAAAGCGTTTTGGAAGTGCGAAATTTAGTGGCACTTGAAAGAGACAATTTTTTTCGAAATGCACATCAGAACCTTGCATTATATTGCACATGACTATTCGTAAAAGGTAAATTCAACGATGCGTCGTCTGTTTAAACAATAGTAAATGAACATGCCCTTACTGACGACATTTAACTAAAACAACAAGATCTACTATGAAAGGAAAACTGAGAGCGAGCTCCGGCTATTTACACGTACATCATATTTGCTCTCATCGCATAATCTCGCTATCCCAATTCTGCTCTATATTGATGTATTAGAATTATCTACGCGCCTATAATTTTAGCTAAGATGCTCTCTGTAAAATCAAGATTGCACTTTACTGCAGCAGGTGGCATATATTGAAGTTAAATAAAAAATTCGTATTTTGCCACTTGTTTGGTCAATAGTTGCAAAGCAAGCTTGATCGGTGCAGTAGGAGGAACCAAGCCTTGTCGATTGTTACAGAAGTAAATAAAGGCTTGAGGGATATTTAAGTGTCCACCTAAAAACATTTTAGATTAAGCAGCACTTTGTTAGCAGTTTAGATTAGTTGCACGCAAAAGCCTAAAAGCTTCTGTTGAGATATTTCTGCGTAACATAAGAGAACAATGCATGCATCACACATCGAATGTTGAGTTCTCCCATAGTAGTGCTTTGCTCATAAAAGGCATACTTTTAGGGAAGATGCTCTGCTCACGATGGCTCATTATCTTTCTTATAGTGTTTTCCTTTGTTGCAGTGTCAAACACACGTAAAGCAAGAAAGGTTAGTGGGAGATTTTTACTTATCCGTACTAATTTATCACTTACAGTGCCCTCCAGTGTGCAAAAAGCGTTATGCGAAAAAACGCGCTATGTGCAAAGGATGCACTTTCACGAAGAAGAATAAAATTCGACGCTGGGGAGCAGAGTAACTCAATAATGTTAATGAACGGAGACTGCTGTTTAGCAGTGAAAAGGCGCAACACACGACTTTTCTCACTACCTCACGGGATGCATAAACTTACTTTTGCACTAAATGTCGACCAAGTCAAGAAGTGCGCTTACAGCTGCACGTAAGCCGCTTTAGTTTCTGTCTGAATAAGTTCGAGCGCCTGTTGCACATTATGTTCTACGACAAGCACTTAAACTATCGCAAAATGTTTCGTCAAAGTGCGAAAAACAACAAAACGGAAAATTTGAATTGATCGAATCCGATCAAGATAGCAACTTACTCAATTGTGCTATCTTGTTGTAACAAATATTCTCTTATTTTCTGTTTAAAAATTGTATGAAACAGATTCATTGATATTATGGTACATACTTATCTACCTAACTAACAAGGGAAGCGTGTTTAGTTGAAGTGGGCATCCCAGTTAAGTCTTAAATCGTTTTGAAGAACATTGGTCGCTGATTTCAAACATGCTTTTATTATCTGCCAAGCGCTTCTCACCGAGTTTGAGTGTTTCTTGAAGCAAAAAACAAACGCAGAATCTATGCAAGAACAGGTTACAATTTTTCCGCTCTCAGGTAGAGCAGCGCTGAGTGTGAAGGTACTAAGTAAAAGATATTCATCAAATGCTTGCTGAATGATTTGCTTCGATCACCTGACCATCTGAGCAATTCTGGACAATTTTATCTCAGTTGCGCGTTCAATTTTTCGATCTAAGAAACGCTCATGATTCGGCTTCCAGAGGCGTTTGGCAGATAAGGAAAACCAATTTAGAGTTGTTGTTCAATGCTCTAACAGGTGATGTAGATGACATGTGGAAAGGCCACTTCGATTAAACGCGCTTCCCTTGTAAGCTGTATTACCAAAAAATATCTTGCGAAGTGTTTATACTGTGTATTATTGGGAGTGACGGGTGCTGAGGCTCGGCGCACAAACGACTCTCTTGAACTCTTCAATTTCGCATTCTCGACTTCCTATTCGGAATCAGGGACATGAAAAGGCTTTGAAATGACAAAAACGTGGAAGTCGGAAATCTGGGTGACCTTCCGGAGCGGATTTCTAGCTCCGAAAGCAATCTTTTGCTGCCGCAACGTGGATGTTTGCCTAGTGCGGGGCCCACGCTAGTATACCATCATAACCTCGTCAACCCCACTTTGCGTGGATGGTGCCTTTGAATTGCACTGCAGTATTTGCGTTTGCTTGCAGAATATTCATTGAAAGTGATAGTGCGTCAGCCAAACAAAGCACATGGACAATTGGCTTAGATTTGAAAGTCAGTCAGAGCTATCAAATTTTTTCTTTCATATTTGAATGAGTTAGATGCTCATAATGCCATGCGGTTCATATAGTTGACCATCAGAAAGAACACACGATGCAAAACTTTATTTAGCCTTGAAACCTGGGTAATTGAACCCAGTGCAATAGAAATCAAGGCATTGTGCGTGTATAAGTTAACAAATGTTATGAATTCATTTCAGTTCAACTATGATATATTTGAACAGAGGAAAGATACGGCAAAAATATGCGGAAAAACAGGTGATAAAACGTCAATGACACACGCCCACGAGTGTTTATGCAAACACTGTACAGAAGCACAATAATAAGCACTAAAATACATGTTAAACTTGCTAGCGAATTGTTTGAGTAGGTTTTATTGGTCCGTTGTAAAACTAATTCTGTTCAGGTGAACTGAACGGCCTCATCCGAGATTTCTTGAAGTAAAATGACGACCGCAACTTCCCATGCTTTAAGAATGCAAGATAAAATTTCTGTTAACCAACCGTCTACTTCACTGCTTGGTTTACGTTTACTTAGACGACGAACTGCTTTGAATAGTATCTTAATGATAATACGTAAAGAAACTTTTCGTAAATAACTCCTAATTAACTTGCGATACACGTCAGTTTAACATGTCAGGAATAATGAGTGAGGAGCCACAATGCAGGCTGACAATACTTGAACAAGATCTATTAAGTCGGCCACATTTTTGCTGCTAGTACCAATCACTTAGTTAGATGTGAACGAAAGAAGACGTATCGTTCTCAATCATATTATCGTAGATGGTTGAAAACATTGATCAATGGCTCGACAAGGACAAGCTGACTCGTAGAAGCCTCAATTGAATTTCTATCCAGTTAAAATTGAATGAGGTTTACTACGGCCATTTACTCATTTAGAAAAATCGAGTCTTGAGTAAATGAGAGCGCATTAATGAGACGATGAAAAAGCAATGGAATGAATGAAACAGAAGGGAAGGACAGTTGCTGATGCTACTTGTGTGATGTCGGGCGCAAGCTCTACCGTTACATAGAAATATTACATTATACCTTTCAAATACTATCATAGCGCATCGATATCGTATCCGTCATCACATGGTACGTATCTTCCTTGTTTAGTCTTTGAAACTCCATCAATGTAAAAGCTTATGTTTGCTTATCTTATTTATTTGTTTACTTATTTATCATATGCACTCAAGGCGCGCCATAGAAAGGAAAAACAGGAACACAAGCACAAAGCCTAGCCAGTAACACAAATTGGAGGAATTAAGAATTAGGAAGTAAGACTTAATATTTATTAGGAAACATCTCAGACAAGAATGTTACAAAAATTTGCAATTATTTGTTTGTATCTGTAATTAGTTTAAATTTCATTAGCTTTGTAAGAATATCTTCCATAAGCAGTATAGCAGCCATTCCTTTCTTCTGAACTTTCGAGATTGCGATCATGTAAAATATTTGAGAAGCATCCCGAAAGTCCAGAAGAAAGGGGTGGCTGCTATACTGCTTATGGAAGATATTCTTGCAAAGCTAATGAAATTTAAACTAATTACAGATACAAACAAATTAATTGCAAATTTTTGTAACATCCTGTCTGAGATGTTTCCTAATATATACTAAGTCTTACTTCCTAATTCTTAATTCCTCCAATTTGTGTTACTGGCTAGGCTTTGTGCTTGTGTTTCTGCGTTTTGGGGTGCCCTCACTTCCAGCGGAAATCCTGTCGCCGCTGGTATGTTTCGTCAATCGATCACTACTTGGTTATTTGTTACCAGCTTTTACCTATCCCAACTCCAAATTTCTTTTAGCGAGACTACTTCCACGTAACGCTCCCATTCTCTTGAGCAAAATTGCAAAATTACAAAATCAGTAAGCGCTCTTAAACTAAAAGCTCGTTCGGTGAATTGACACAGTATACTACAATTGTAGTCACTTTCCGCACTATTCGAGATGTCAATGAGATACAGCAGTGGATTAAATAATCGCTCAATCTGCACAAGTTGAAAGTGAGAAATTTGATTACAGTGGTAGATGAGCTAGATGCCTACTTAGGTACACGTTCTTAAGAGTACTTTGAATATAGAGCATCAAGAGAGGAATGTGGACGTGTTATGGTAGCATCATTGTCATAATACGCAGTAGGCAAGGTGCCTAAAATCGTTGAGCCAATTTCTATAAAGAATGGAGGTTGGAGAGTTCAACACCGAATGATCCTTACAGGTTCAACATTGAACACGTGGTACAAAAAGCCAGCTAAGTTTGTGATCGAAATATGTGTAGTTTTCTGAAGCAATGCGCGAGCAGATAGCTGGAAAGCTTCCGACATATTCGTGTCTTTCCAGGCTTTTATCAAAATCAACGTTCATTCTTTTTGAGTGTGAGGTTTGAACTTTGAAAAATCCAACTTAAAGCACCTCTGTCGCCGTTCCGTTTAATGCTGAAAATATATGCTTACTATTCAGTCACAATGAGTCTACGGAATCAAAATGCACCAGACATTTCTGGGTGCAACAACGATCGTTTATCGAGAAATTAGTAACTATTCGTGCACACTGCGATGGGACCAGTTTCAATCATGTCTGTATATCCCACACATTCTGCACCACGGTTGTCTTTTGAACGTTCCATCATCTCTTCTGCATCTTAGAGGGCACTGCAATAAGATCAAATGACAATTACGATTAGTAAGACTGATTGTGCTTACACTGGGCCCTGCTGATTCTGCGGTTGGTACAGAAAGAAAAGCCAAAAGGCAAAGAAGAAACACCTTCAAACACAGCATAACCACCGTTCTAAAAGTGCGCAGTACAAGAAGCTTGGACAGAAACAATTTTTCACATGATTTTTCTGGCGAATTTTTGCTGAAAAGGTGCATATGGTTATTTTTGCGTACACTGCGGAGGCAACTAAAAGGTTCCATCTAAGGCAAGTGCCATACTTGATCGATCCGCTCGATTCGCTTCACTCATTACGCCATTGATCAGTTTGCTGATGCGACCAATAGTGAAGTGGATAGAGCGGATCAAGCGGATCAAGTAAGGCGCGTACCTAATGTTGTTTTTAAACACTTGGCAATCCTTGGGCGAGGTTAAGTTCCAAATTCAGAAAATTTCAGGCGAATTCATGATGGTTAATTCGATAAACCGAAGATGAGTTGGCGTTAAATGAAGTGGACTCCAATTTTCGGTATCTTATACTTCATTTAAATATATTTATTTGATCAATTATGATTTGGTATTTGTTCAGCAACATTGAAACTGTTGACAGGTACCATTGAAACAGCGCATATCGTTGCTGTCTGCTTGTTTACGATCGTTGGTGTGATGTTACCACTAAGTGAGATTGTTAGGGTCAGAGAAAGTTTGGCGATCAAGATGAAGGATGAAACTAAAGGGAGATGAGGAGGAGGCTGTATCGAACTGGAAATTAAACGAGGAACATTTCCTTCTTCACCCATTACGGAAACTTCGCTTCTGCTAAATTCTTCTATGCCAAGTCCTTTGCTTGGGCATAATTCAGCAATTTCAGTCTATAAAACTGAAAGTTAAAGACATAGATTCCAGCTACATGATATGTACCCATTTTTGTGCCAAGGAGTGTGAGAGCATGAAAGCCTTTTTTTTCAACCAAAGGATGAGGAAACGCAGAGGGTTACTGATAGTAAGTTTCCACTCTTTTAGCACGGTTGTACATAGAATCTATCAAGCATTCCGATCATACATGTGCACCCTTAAAGGCAGCGTACAGCCAAAATCTAAGTTCTCTAATTTTCTAGATCTTTCTATACCGTGTATATACTGGGCCCAGAAGAAGACCAACTGCGTTGGTCCGGTCTCCCAATGTTGCTTCTG